CTGGACGTGAACCTTGCTGGGGTCATCTGACCCCAGCAGTCTTTTCTTTCCTGCCTAAGAGCAGGAGGACTGGACCTGGTGATCTTATGAGGTCCCTTCCAGCCCCTAACATCTATGAATCTATGAAAAAGCCCTGTCATTTACCTTTACCTCAGAACAGACACCCATTTTTCCCGCCATGCACTTCACCCAACCCTGCATGCCCAGGCTGGTAAAATGGGTCAGTGGATAAAAAGTTCATTCTTTCCAGAGGCTTCTAAAAGATAATTGTTACTGTGCATGCCTCACAGCTTCGCAGAGACATACGTATTTTAATTACATCTATTCTGAAATAAATGTTCTCTTCCAGAAGTGTTGACAAGAATCCAGGCAGACAAGGTTCCTTGGGTGAATTTGATATCTTTTGATATGAATGAAATTCCATCCAGGAAGAGCACACACCAACTGCTGAAACTTCCTTAGCCCGACGAAGGGTTTTTGAACCCGAAAGCTTGCTTAATAACTATTCTCCAACTATTTGGGTTGGCCTAATAAAAGATATCAAATTCACCCAAGGAACCTTGCCTGCCTATGTCCTTAGACCAACATGGCTACAACCTAAACCCCTGCGACAAGAATCCAGTAATTGTCACCATCCTGCATAGTCGGGGCGGGAGGTGGGCGGGGGTGGTGGTTCCTGCTTTACAGAAACATGAAGACAAATATAAACCCCTGGTGGCAGCTTTAGACTCCCCTGTTCTAGGAGTGAGGTCATATTAACACTTGAGATAAAAACTCCAGTTTCTTGTTTCTATTAGAATTGTCTATTAGGAGAAATATTTTGATTTGTTAAAAAAAAAACAACATTAAAAAATCACCCTATATACTCATGCATGCACACACACACAGGGGTATATATAGGTGGGGTGCCGTCTTTTAATTGCATAGCCTCCCAATGGAGAAAAGGCTCTGTACTTACCCTATTAGGCCTCAATGTAAGCAGTGCTCATTAACTTAAGGAACAACCTGTGCTAAGTGTCTTGAGCTCATCCCTGCGTGTTGCTTCTGGGAGTCTTCTGCCTCTATCAGCAACCTTAGAATTGGCCAGAATTGGGCAGTTGGATGATTATTGCATTACAAAATAAGCAGTAGGACTGCCTGTTCCTATCTATTTATGGGGTTGATGCACATAGCTAGCACACTGATAACCAATGTTTGTTATAATGTGAGCAATAGGTATAACTTTGGGACTGAAGTCCTGTTATGTAGTTAAGAAAATTACCTACTTATGGAAGCTGGATATAAGGGGAGGATACTTTGTATGTGTGTGTATATGTGTATTTGATCTCTGTGGTCGCATCCTCTGGAAACTCGCAGTGCATATCCTTCACTTGTACTTCCCTCTACATGCTGGTGGGAGTTTAGGGCAGAACAAGACAGTGTGGGATTACAGGGCTCCCTTTGAAAAATGCTTAGATCCCAGGGAGCTGTGCTTTTCACCTTTAATCCAATGCAAATGCCATGCCCCTTGCCTGAGTTTGCAAGTTGTTTTTTTCCTCCCCTTGTTCCGGTTTGTGTCCTTTTAGACAGCTGCTGGGCTCCATCTAGCGGGGAAAGGAAAAACTCAGAGAATGGAATCTGATCAGTTTTAGTTTTTAATTTAGTGTGAGGTAATATTCAGGAAGACTCAGGGCATCCTACAATAAATGAGATGAAGGACATTATATATATATGTAACACCCACACACACTTGGGGTTGTGTGTGGTCAAGTGTGTTCTGGTTTTATTTGGTTGTGTGCGCTGTATCCTTTGGTTCCTCTAGGACATGGAAAGAACCATCCACCCATCCCCCCTTATTGTGTCCAGACCCTTTGTCTTAAGCTTCCTTCCAAGGAACCTATGGAACCAGTTTGGTAACTGGCCCAGTTCACCAGGGGCTGCCGCCCACCTTTGAACTGACTGCTCTGCATTAACTGTGTTCCAATGAGGATGCTTTTTGACTGGGGCCCTGAGTCTGAGAACTGAGGTTAGAAAAGTTATTTAAGGTTGAGGCCACCTGGTCTGGACTCTCTTTCTTCCTCCTGCTGATTTGGGAGCCAGAGGAGCCTGCTTCCTATGCGGGGTCACCCGCCCGCTCTTCACTGATGGAGCAAACTGAAGCCATGTGAAGGGAAAGCTCAGGTACAGGGAGAGAAAGTCTGTCTTAGGGCTTGAGATCTCTGTTCTCTTCCACTCCTTTCCCCTTTTGTTTTTTTGGGTCTTGAGTGGGATGATACCATGTCGGGGGCATCAATCTCTGCAGCAAACTGGCCAAGGTTGAAGCCTGGCAGTTTGCTGGCATCCTCTGGGCCAGGGCTGAGAGCCTGGCATATTTTAGTTGCTGTTGCAGCTTCTTTTGGATTCAGCATAGCTGTTGCTGAACCCTAGCTATGTGTCTTGCTGGCTGTTTTGGCCACGCAGGCCTTGAGTGGGAGGATGCCATGAGTGTCTCCTCCCCGAGAGCAGACTGTCCAGGAACGGGGTCCTGGCACCTATCTGCCATTCAGGCGTTGAGTGGGATGATGCCATGAGAGTATCATTCCCTAATGGAGACTGAGCAGGAGACAGGGTCCTGGTAGTCGCTGTGTTGTGGATTGCAGTGTCTCAGCGTGGTGGTATAGCTAAGACTAAAGGTACCAGGCTGCAGCCACAAGCCTGGGCCCTTTATGCTATTTTACAGCTGCTGCGTTTCAGCCCATTGGTGTGGGGCTGAACCCTAGCCATATGTTGGCTGGCAGACTTGGGCCAGGGTGAAGTCCTGGCACTTTTTGTTGCTTATTCAGGTCTCAGTGCTGTATAGTCCTGGTTGGCTTTTTGCTGCCCAGTGAAATAGGCCTGGGCCGCCTTTTGTCCCTTTTGCAGTTAATGCACCGACCAAGTGCTGTGGTTGGGTGCTAGTGCTAGCTCAGACCCAAGCCAAAATAGGCCTGGCCCCCTGTTTTGTTGTTTCCTAGCTGTTAGGTCTCAGCCTAGCAATGTGTCTGAGGTTATATGTCCAGGCCACAGCCAAATAGGCCTGGTGCTCTTTGGTTGTATATTCAGGCCCAGGTGCAGGACAGGCCTGAGTCCCACTTCTACAGCAGTTGTGTCTCAGCACAGCTGTATTGCTGAGCCCCGTGGTACGTTTGTTTGCTGTATGTCTGGGCCTGGCACAGGTTCTTTTTGTGGCTCTGTGTCCTGACCAATGCAGCGTGGTTGGCACTGGTTGCTGGTCAGGCTCTTTTGCTGTTTGGCTGGTTTTTCTCTGAGCTCTCTTGCAGTTTCCTGCCCCATCAGAACTGGGATTAGGACTAAAAACTTTGGGGTGTGATATGCTGATAAAAACTGCAGTTCACCCCTCAAATCCACCAGGTGGAAATGAGAATCAGCGTTACAGTTTCACAGGGAACAATGAAGGGCCACTTGCAATGCAGAAGGACCTACGCTCGCTAGCAGCTCCCTGCAGTGCAGTGAACCCATGGAGCAGCTCACTGGACTCTCCGGTGTGGGCCCCCCCTTTCCAGCCCATTGCTGAAGGGCAGGTATAGGGGTGCAGGCCCCCAAAACTACCCTTTAGGGCATCCCAAGTCTCAGACTGCCTGGGCATGGATAAACAACCCCCCAAAGAGGGTGCCACCTATAGACTTTGTTTTGTAGTTTGTAACTTTTTAAAATTATAGTTAGTGTTTACTTTTGTTTTTCTTTATGTTTTGTAATAAATTTGGTTTTTGTGCTTACACTGCTTGAAGGGAAGGTTGGTTGGTTTTATTGGACACCCTAGTGTTTTATCTAGTGTTTCCCAGGTAGACTGGATGGGGGCTCGAGCTAAGGTAAAATATATTTAATATCCCTGAAATTGAACCTGGCTTTTGTTGCTGCTGGCAGGTGCTCAGCAGAAGGGTTACATATAATATATTTTTTCTTTTTTACATGCAATCTTTCTTAAGTCAGTCCTGTTGTCTGGCCTCTTTTTCAGGGCTCTCTTGGGCACTGAACCTTATACACCACCAGGGTGACAGATGATGTAGATGGCTGTATCATGCAGAAATATATTTCCAAGCACTCTGTCCAATAGTAAGGACAACTCCAATGGCTGAAGCAATAGTCTGGGATGCAGGAAGTTCCAAAGGAAATATCTAGGGTAGTTTTGGCTTATTTTCTTGAAGGGAGAAATAGCTCTTCGGTCTGGACTGTATTGGGTCAGTAGAGCCAGGAGACAGTAAGGGAAGAATTGCCTGGAGTTCCTTATACTTGCATAAGCTCCTTCTTTCAGCTCCAAGTCACTGTCATGTGCATGTGATTATGACGCCCCAAAGTCACTAAGGCACTCTGGTCTCTACATCCACTGCCACACATCAGAGTGTAATGGCCAACCTATGTAGTCACCTTTGACTGCAGTGTGCATGACCTGGTCCCCCTTACAACTGGGTCTACAGTGAGCAGCATTTGGCGTGAGTCCAGAGTGGGGCCCATATGTGGCCTTCATAGCAAGATGCCGTAACTGCTCAGCCACACCATGTACACTCTTTGGGTTATGGACAGACATAACTTTCAACCTTATTAAAGGAAGAGGGGCAGGGGAAGGGAGAGCTGCTGCTGGTGGCATGCATCAGCTGTTACAAGGTAAGTGTTACATCTACATGGCCTTGCAGCAGTACAGCTGAGCTAAGTGGCTGGCGATGGTGGTGGCAGTCCCTCATTTGAGGATGATCTTTACCATGGTTCATTGATGGGTCTTGAGATTACTTAAGAGTCCAATCCTTGAGCCACAGGTCTGTCCACAGAAGCTGCAGAGGTTGTGGTGCCGTTGGAGTAAGTCACCAGCCAGCTCCTCCAAGCTCTTGACGTCGGCATCTATTTTCTTGAGGTCTGCCCTCAACATATCCTTGTAGTGTTTCCTCTGATCCCTGCAAGATCTCAGGCTGGTACCAAGATGGGAGTAGAGCACTTGGCTTTAACAGGCAAGCCAGGCATCCACAGTCCACACACAATGTCCACACACAATGTCCGGTCCAGTGAAGTCGGTGCTGGAGGATCATGGACTCAATGCTGGTGACGCTGTGTTCTGCAAGGATGCTGGTGTTTGTGTGCAAATCTTCCCATTTTGTGTGGAGGATTTTCTGGAGGCATCTTGGGGATACCCTGCCAGGCTCTTGAGATGATGAGGCTAAATCCCCTGCCTATCTGTAGAGCAAAGTGGGATGAGGACTGCTTTGTAGGCCTGGATCATGGTGTCTTTGTGCTATAACTAGCATGGAATGACACAGGGATAGACGTGCCCTGGTTTTGCTGGGCTGTGCCCCAGGGTGGGGAGGCAACAGGTTGCTTGTACCTGGTGGGTGCTGCAAAGTGGGGCACTCTCCCCGCTTGCTTAACCCTTGGGAGCTCCCCTCCCTTCCTGGGTGGAGCTTAGCTCCCCCGTGAGGTGTGGGGTGTGGAGGGGGTTTCTCTGCCTGTGGGGATGGCGATGGCTCAGCTCCTCCTGCACTGCCCTGCCTGGCACTGTTGCCAGTGCCTGTCCTCAGCCAGCTGTAGCCTGGCAGCACAGCAGGGGCAGGATGTTGTGCCCCAGCCCCTACACCCCACAGACATGCAGTCATCTTCTCCTGCCCCTCGTGTCAAGGGAGCCCTTGGCCCCTTTCCTGGCAGGAAGCCAGCTGCCCCTTGGGCAGCAGGGATGTGTCAGTCTCTCACCAGAGAGATGGCGCTTTCACCATGCCTGGGCCCTTGGCCAGCCAGCAGGGCAGACTTGGCCTCCTTTATCCATCTACATCAGTAGTGCTAGGCCCATGGCCAGATCTGGTTCTGGTCCATGGGGTCTGTGGGGAGCCCCAGGAGCCATGGCCAGGTGTGCAGGTTGGGTGGCACAGGGTCCAATCCTGGCACATGGGAGCAGTGCCAGTCCCCAGAGCAGGATACCAGCAGGACAGGTGGCAAGAGGCCCAGTCTGGCCCATGAGTTACAAATGGAAATGCTTAACCCTCTACCCCAAGAGGTCACTGGAGATCTTGCCCAGGTCTTGATGCTGAGAGCAGTGGGCCTTAGAGCCTCTTGTTCATAGCATGGTGTGTGTTGCCGCCTGCTGCAGTGCAGAGCTTTTCCTCAGAAAGCCTGGCAAACCCCAGACACTGGTTATTAACCACAAAGAGGTGGTGGGGGAACAGCCAGGCACTATCCTCTTACCCCCTAAAATCCTGATCTTGGAAGTGGTGGGTGAAATGGCTGAAATGTTCCAGCCTGGGCTTTAAAATCCCATACGTGGTTCTGGCCGCATAGTCACAGGTGCCATCTGATTAGGTGGAGCTGTGCTTCCTGTGGAAGGACCATCTGTGCATGGTGCTCTTTCTGCGGAGATTTGGTTGCCAAGTCTGCTGCTGGATCACCCAGGATGCCAGCCAACTGAAGACGCTGCTGGACAGTCATAACGCCCGCCTGAGTGGTATGGGGCCAGAAAGCATGGGACTGAAAGAATTTAGTGATGGGAACTACTTCAGTGGAGGTAAGAGACGTCTCTGGGGTGGCTGGTTGAGCGGAAGATGTTTTCTCCTGCTCCAAGAACCCCTCTGGTCCTTTTGTGCCTTGGCCCTTTGCTGTCTGGCAGACTGCTATGGAGGGTGGGTTGGACGGCTCTTTACCTGTTCCTGCTGGAAGTTGTGCCGGGGCTTTCACTCCCTGGCATAAGTGTGCCGTGGGACAGGTAGGGGGGCCCCACACAGGCTGCTTTTCCCTGGGCGTACACCCTGCTGGGATCATCTCTGTTAGAGACTAACTGGTTCACAGAGTTTTTGTAGGCAATAGCATACTTTATCAGATGCTATACTTTCTCTGACTTATCAGTGAAAGTAGAGGAGCACTTAATATTTTTAAGATAAGGCCTCTGTATCCCACTGAATGGTTATGGGGGTAGGGTGAGGTGAACAGTTGTACTTGATCTGAGATTTTATTTTTCTTCAGGCAAATGCAGACGGCGTCCAAGGCAACTTAAGTGGCGACCTGTTGCAGAGTGGAGGAATGTTAATAGTCAGTCAAGGTAAAATAAATATTCATGTCTGTCAAAGTCCTAGGTATCTGACCATGTTCAGCTAAGGATGCTTGTACTTCTAGGTAACCTGCCAAGCTCTTTAGCATCCAAAATGTTTCTTTGCTTGGACAAGGCTTATAAGCAACTTCATAGAATTTTGTCAAGACGTCAAAGCAAGTGAGGGTCGGGGTGGCATGGGAGGTAATACCTGCCAGTGGATCACCAATTACCTGAGCTGTTTTGGATGTACTGTAGTTCTTTGTCATGGACGGATGACCTCCCTGCTAGGATTCTGGTTGTCACTGTTTTTTAATGGTGTCTTTCCTGGGACTAATGCACCCCAATAAATAAACTGGCAAATTGACCTTCCCAGATCATAAAAACACCAACTCAGGAAGATTAAACCATTAAGACAGGGCTGTGGCCTGTGCAGGCATTCTTGCTTTTATGCTGTTGACAGTAGAAAGGTAAAAGCATGAAGATAGACTGAGATCTCACAGCATTTGGCTTGGAGGAAAAAGTTACTCCTGATTTATACATGGTAACTGTATGTTGGACACAAGCTTAGTGCAGAGATTCACCGGGTTTCTGCCATGGTAGCTATCCATGCTTTAACATCTGCAGCTGAATGAATGTGTTGAGTGCACTTGGATCTTGAGAGGCCTGCTCCTCACTGGTGTGATGCTGGGATGCTGCAGTCCTTCCTATTATCACCATGCTTGAAATTTCAGCAATTGGGTCCAGGTCTGGCCAGCAGGTGGCAGCATGGGAGAAGGCAATATCAAAATGATCTTGTTTGAACATGACTTCAAAAGTTTCTAAAATGCAATTTTCTTCCTTCTTTCAACACTAAATCTGTTCAGTACAGTTTCTCTAATATTAAGATGCCAATATAAAGTAATGGGGATTCAGGATGCAGTCCTCACGATCAAGCATGTGGCCCAGCCTACTTTTATGTACAAGCTTCTTTCCTCTGAGATTAAATAGCTCTCTGTAAAATCTGAGTTGCAGCTAAGTGTGGGGGCAATTAGCATGTAGCAATAAACTCGGGTGCAGTTCACACTGGAGTTTATTGCTCCTGGGCGCAGTGTTTACATGTGCTCCTGGGACTACAGCATGTTAAGCTGGGGTGGAGCAGCCCCAGCTGGCAAGGTGGGGTCAGCCTGCTGGCCCAGAGCTTTTCCCTGTGGCTCAACAGGCAGAAGGGTTAGCTGGGGCCCATGGGTACTACAGTGAGGGGCTTGGTGGCAGGTGGCCTCTGCACTATAGCACCCTAGTGCCCCGGCCAGCCCCATCACTGTCCACACATGCGTTTTGCTGCATGTAACTACTCTGCTGTAGGATAGTACTTGTTCCAGACAGCACTATCCTACAGCAGACTTAATTAGTTTACTGTGCCCTAACATAGGTGCATGTATAGACGGTGATGCTTTACTGCGGAGCTAATTCACCAGCTCTGCAGTAAAGCACATAGGGTGCACCTACACATATGTCCAGGAATAGACAGTTGTACCTTGCCTCTCTGATTTTACTGTCTCAATGCAGAATTGGCAAAGTCTTGCTGGAGGTAAGTGTGGGTTGGGTTTCCCAAAAGTTTGAGGTAGCAGGGACGTGAGCTTTTGTAGCCTCTTGAAATAGCACTCTGCCAACAGGTTTCAGGGCCAAGCTCTAAGCTTCTGCACAGTGCTGCATGTGTTAATTCATATGAGTAACTGACTTGGTGAAGTTTGCTCATAGTCTGGAACCCCCCTGGCCTGTAAACTGTTATCATCCTCTCATCCTTGAACTTCTTGCACGTTACTGGTGTGACCCACTTTTTTTTGAGGGATGTGAGCCCTGTTTAAAGTTGGAGCTGTTGTTCAACTACCTCTCTGCCAAAGGCTGCAGATTCTGCCTTGCGGACAAAAGCTTATTGTCCTAAATTCCTTTTCTCAGGTGGAAAGAAGGTGATCATACATTTTATACAGGAGTCACCTGGTGATTATGTTCCCTTGGAAAAAATTGTCAAGAACCTTGGTATCTCTGCAAATGTGGAGGGTATGAAACCTCAGGTGAGGCACTTAGTTCTTCTAATGGTGGAAACTGAGCTGTTAAAATGAAGGAATTGGCTATGGTAAAAGTTCCCTAAACTTTACCTAGTGACATTTAAAGTGACCATAATGTTGTGCCAACACAGCAAACTAACTGTCCTTCTGTTACCTGCATAAGGATTATCCTGTAAAGCCTTGTAAAGTGGGGTTTCTGACCACGGCAATTAGAAAAAGTCTCTTCAGCTTACGTATGCAAGAATAGCAGCAGTAACTTTTATAACTTTTGGAGGTGGCAGTAGTCTTGCTGTGACTCAGACATACTATTGCATGGTGCAGTCAGTAGCTGGCAGCACTGGTCTCAGCCTTTTCTGTTTATGTGACAGATGTGTGACTGTCTTCTCTGGCTAACACCTGCATCCTATGGCTTGAGTGCTCTTTAGTCTGTAACTCCATTCTGGGTCTTCAAGCACTGTTTGAGTTAAATAGGTTTGTGAAGGCTTGCAGATGGAACAGACCTCTGAACACTTTTAAAATGAATGCAGTACCTCAACATAGGCATTGGTAACTCACCCTGTTGAACAAGCAATTCATCTTCTGCCAGTACAGAACCTCAGGAAAGCGATAATGGTAGGAGCTCTCTTCAGTGATATTTTCCCAAGGTGAGTAGTTGGAGTGAAGAGCCTGGGCTCCATATGAATTGTTTTACAGCTGAACAAATTTATGGAAACAAGGTTCTTGTCCTTGGCTCATCTGCTCAGCAGGCCATTGGTTTGGAGGCTCTTTTGCTGTGTGGGAGTCATGACTCTGTCACAGTCCTGTGGAAGTAGGGGACGTACTCTGCCCATGTGAATTATTGCAGGGAGGCCAGGTTGCAGCATTCCTTC